TTTTCTGAGAGCTGCTCAGATGTCGAAACAAGCTAAAATTTTGCATGAATCTTAGGCACTGAAACATCTACCAAGCAAAAAAAAAGAGATTTTTTTGACTTTTTCTAGTATTTTTTTGCTGTTCACGGCGGGTGTAGATGAGTTCGGTAGCCAAATTGCCCCTCTCAGTGGCGAATATTAATTTTTGGGCTCGAGCTCATCTGCACTATAGGAACAGATTTTTTTTAGAACTCCCTCAAATCCATATGAATTGTCAAGGACTTAATAAGTCCACGACAATTAATATGAATCGGCGGGAGTACATTTTTTTTTCATTTTTCCTATTGAAAAAATCACAAAAAAAGTATTTTACAAAAGTGTGAAAATATATTTAGATTTTTCTTAAATGTGAACCTTTTTGAAATGTTTGTCATTTTTTTGGAAAATGAGAGAATTTATTGGAAGGCGGATACTTTTTGATTTTTAAAACACGAACATATTTTGAAAACTCGAACATAACAAATCAAGAAATATTTTTTTTTGTAAGTATGAACTTTTAAAAGACCAGACGGAAATTTTGAAATTCTGAATATTTTTGAATTTTTTAGAAAATCAAAAACAATCAAAAACAGCGTAAACATGCCAAAACCTTCTAGAATGTTTATTTATAATAAAATCAGTGAAAACCGTACAAAACCTCTCAGTAGGCTCGCTCAGTGGCTGCTTTGTGCGCAGCGACGGCCGTGCCCCTATCTTCGACCAGACTAGGCTAAGAAAAAACTGTCATATATTTTGAAACCGAGGGAGTATGTGTTTTGACCTGTCTAAGATAAAAAAAAGAATTTAAGAATGGCTTGTAGCTTTAATCAAACTCGTGATTTTGTTGCAGTGGCCACATGTAAGTAAGACCATCATCCATTCATCCTCTGGCTGTGTGGAGAGCGCGATACGGTGTGCTCGAGAACAGCAGCACAGCTGGTCCCGACGTTATGTACACCCCATGCTCGTCGTGCCGGGCCAAGCAGAGGCGGCTAGCCGGTGGAGGACGGAGGTGAATGGGGCATGGCACGTCGCGCTCCCGACCCCGGATCCAGCCAGCCAGCCTCTATCCATCCGTCCGTCCGGGTCTGGCCCATCTCGCCTGCACCACCACGGCAATCAATCAATCAGTCAGTCGACCTCCACTCCACTCCACCAGCCAGTCACTCACTCAGCTGCACCAGCTAGTGCACCGGGGCGAGCCTCGCTTTCACGGAGCACTGCCCGCCGCCGCGCGCTAGCCAGCCAGCCAGCCAGCCAGAGAAAGAACCGGAGGGAGGCAGGCCATGGCGACGCCGGAGCACGCGCGCGCGGGCCGGGGCAACGCGACGGCCACCGCCATCGCGACCAACCGGTGGGGGCCCTACTCGGGCGCGGGCGACTTCGCGGGCAACATGGCCATCATCCTCGCCTCCCTGCTCGCCGCGCTCGCGCTCGCCCTCGCGCTCCACGCCGGCGTCAGGTGCCTGCTCCGCCGCCGCCGGCAACGGCAGCGGCAGGGGCGGGGGGTCGACGGTGTGGAGGACCCGGAGAAGCCGGCGCCGCCGCCCCCGCTGCCGCCGCTGCTGGTGTACTCGGCGTCCGGGACGCGGCTGGCGGGCGCGGCGGCGCACGAGTGCGCCATCTGCCTGGCCGAGTTCGCGGACGGCGACGCCGTGCGCGCCATGCCGGCGTGCGGCCACGGCTTCCACGCGTGCTGCATCGAGCGGTGGCTCGCCGTGCCCGCCTCCGCCGCCCGCCGCCCCTCCTGCCCGACATGCCGCGCGCCGCCCTGACGCGCGCGCGAGAGACACCCCCTTGTGGCGTTGCCAAGCGCTCTGCCTCTGCTTCGCTCCCTCTGGAATTGGATTGCTGCCTCCCGAGTTCTTCTCTTTTTCTTTTTTCCAGTCTATTCCGCGTGTAAAAATTCCATCGAGTTCGGGATTCGGGATTTGGGTTTTCAAGCTGGCTCCATCTTTGTGTCGATTTATTTATCAGTAACTAGTCCTCCTCAAGTCGTTCTTTTATCGACGGCCGTGTTTGGCAGCTCGCTCACCGACAAGGCCAAATCAAGAGCACAAAGAACTTGCACTGCACTTATCTGAGACTGATTATGATAAGGGAATGATAATCTCAGTTTGTTTGATTTCTACAAAATCTAGGATTTTAGTACTAATCCAATGATCCAGTCGACTCGGATATGGCTCGCGGCCCGCGCCATGATCGGATACGGCACAGCACCCAATGCGTGAAAGCGACCGTGCGCCAGCCAGCCGATCAACCTGAGGCTTCTTGGCAGTCTAGTCCTACTAGAAGCGTGGTGAAGCTCCTTCCTTGCATCCACAGAGACCAGACCGAGCCACGTGAAGCTTCGGTCTGTCGTGTCGTGTGGCGGGCGTGTGGCGGGCGTGGACTATAGCAGAGCCCACGCGCCGCGCCCAGGTGTGGCTACGCCGGGGCAAACTTGACAAATTTGATCTATTGACAAAATCAAATCACAGAATGAGCTGTCCGTGAAATTATTTTACGCGGCTAATCTTTTTATGTGACGCCCGACACGAAGGCGCCACACTACACTGTGCAACGCCTCACAGATAGGCGCTACACGCCTGGCAGTGTCGCATCCGTGTGATCCGAAAATTACTAAGTCAGTGTGCAGCGCCTGAGAGTTAGGCGTCACACTATACAGCGTAGCGCCTAGCTTCTAGGCGTTGCACTAGTGGTTGCATCATTTTGTAGTGCAACCACTAGTGCAGCGCCTGAGAGCTAGGCGCCACACTATACAGTGCAACACCTAGCTCTTAGGCTCTGCACAATGACTTAGCAACTTTTAGACAGTCTGGGATGCAACGTTGGTCAGCCATATAGCGTCTATCTGTGAGGCGTTGCATAGTGTAGTATAGCGCCTTTGTGTCGGACGTCACACAAAAAAGTCACCGCGTGAAATAGTTTCACGGGCAGTTTATTCTGTAATTTAATTTCGTCCACAGGTCAAATTTGTCAAATTTGCCCTACGCCGGCGGCCGCCAAGCGCGTCGTTCTCGCCGGAGGAGCGTGGGCGCGGTGCCGGCTTGCGCGCGGACAGACACAGTGCCGGCAGTGGCAGGTCGCCGTTTGGATTTCGGCCGATCAGGCCATTCAGATAAGGGCAAAATGTGGAGGGCAACCCACCCATGATGCGATGCGTGCGTTATCAACAAAGGGGAAGGAATGATTGAGTGGAGCAGCACGCCCGGTACGAATGCGTGAGAGCGACGATGGCCGGATCATTCAACGCCGTCACATCATCACAGTAAAAAAAGTGAAGGTGGATATATCTAGATTTTACTCCCCACGTAAAATGCGCCTCAAGTAAAATTTTATAAAGCCTTGACCTTGTTTATATAAAAGAAATAACAACATCTACAATACTAAAGTTATGCAATATGGAAACTATCATGACGCGTCTAATAAAATTGATTTCGTATTGTGGATGTCAATCTTGTTTCCCCCGTGAAGCTGGTCAGACATTATGGACTCTGACTTCTAACAAATCTTATAAGTGAATACCTGCAACTGTGGACTGCAATTGAAAGGGTGAAACTTCAGCCAACATGACGAGACAGCATCACCTGGTCATGGGAAGCAAACGGCTGCTACTTCACGAGAGCGGTCTATGCCACAAAGTTCTGGGGCAGGCAAACCGCCCCAATAGCCGACTTTACCTGGAAATTCAAAGCGCCAACACAGTGCCGCTTCTTCACATGGCTTGCAATTCAGAACAGATGTTGGACGTCCGACCGGTTGGCAAGAAAAGGACTTGATCATCAAGATAGCTGCCCACTATGCAGCCAAGCGAAAGAGAGCATCAACCATATCTTACTACACTGTGTTTTAGCGCGTGAGGTGTGGACGGCGATATGCCACCCCCTTGGCAAGCCGGAGTGGATACCGACACCGGACGACGACCTCTCCACATGGTGCCAGGACAAGGGAGGACGAGGACGGGCTAAGAGGGATGCCAATGTGATCATTATCCTAGTTATGTGGCAACTCTAGAAGCACCGCAACTCTAACATCTTTGACGGGGCCACGCCATCCAAGAATCTAGTTATCCTCGCCGTTGCAAGAGAGGGTCGTGTATTGAAGCAAGCGGGACTACTAAAGGGAGACACGAACATGTTCTTTGCTGAAGTGGAAGGGTGGGCGTGGGTCATCATATACATTGATCGGCACAATATCCTTTTTGATTGATCAGACATTCTAGCGAACAAAGTACATCCATTTTTAACCGATCATTCAAATTTCGGACCATCTCATAGTTGTATTTTTCTTTAAAACAAGCTGTATTTATTGTGGCAAAACCCGCGGGAGGTGCACAATTTATTACTCCCTCGGTCCCATAATATAAGAGCGTTTCTCTTATATTTTGGGACTGAGAGAGTAGAATTTTTTTACTGGAGGCCCATGACCACGCGTCAACGAGAGATGGGCCTGAGTGCTAGGCCCATAACGGGCGTGATATGGATCGCGAATGGCTTCGCGTGTGAGCCCCCGCGCCGGCTCCCGCTATGAGCCGCCCGCTCTGCAACCACTACGCCGCGCTCCTCTCCTCCACCGCCGCCGCCGGCGGCCGCGATGGGGCCCGCGTCTCCGGCGCCGTCCACTGCCTCGTCCTCCGGACGCTCCCGCACCCGCCGCCCACCTACCTCCTCAACCACCTCCTCGCCGCCTACGCCAGGTCCGGCCGCCTCCCCCTCGCGCGCCGCCTGTTCGACGCAATGCCCGACCCCAACCTCTTCACCCGCAACGCGCTGCTCTCGGCGCTGGCCCGCGCGCGCCTCCTCCCGGACATGGAGCGGCTCTTCGCGTCCATGCCCGAGCGTGACGCCGTGTCCTACAACGCGCTCATCGCGGGCTTCTCGGGCGCCGGCGCCCCTGCGCGGGCGGCCCAGGCGTACCAAGCGCTGCTCCGGGAGGAGGCGGTGGTGGAAGGCGCCAGGGTCAGGCCCAGCCGCATCACCATGTCCGGCATGGTCATGGCCGCGTCGGCGCTTGGGGACCGCGCGCTCGGCCGGCAGGTGCACTGCCAGATCCTGCGGCTCGGGTTCGGGGCGTATGCCTTCACCGGGAGCCCCCTGGTCGATATGTATGCCAAGATGGGGCTCATTGGGGACGCCAAGCGGGTCTTTGATGAGATGGAGGGCAAGAATGTCGTGATGTATAATACCATGATCACGGGGCTCCTCCGGTGCAAGATGGTTGCTGAGGCTAGGGGGGTGTTTGAGGCAATGGCCGACAGGGACTCCATCACCTGGACTACTATGGTTACAGGGCTTACGCAGAATGGGTTGCAGTCGGAGGCGCTGGATGTTTTCAGGCGGATGAGGGCCGAGAGTGTTGGCATTGATCAGTACACTTTCGGAAGCATCCTTACAGCCTGTGGCGCCCTTGCTGCCTCAGAAGAGGGGAAGCAGATCCATGCCTACACAATCAGAACTCTGTACGATGACAATATCTTTGTTGGAAGCGCGCTTGTTGACATGTACTCAAAGTGCAGGAACATCAGACTGGCAGAAGCCGTTTTCAGAAGGATGACCTGCAAAAACATCATCTCATGGACCGCAATGATTGTTGGCTATGGACAGAATGGGTGCGGCGAGGAGGCTGTGAGGGTGTTCTCGGAGATGCAGAGGGATGGTATTAAGCCTGATGATTTCACTCTCGGCAGTGTTATAAGTTCTTGTGCTAATCTAGCAAGCCTGGAAGAGGGAGCACAGTTCCACTGTATGGCGCTCGTCTCAGGGTTGAGGCCGTACATTACAGTGTCTAATGCACTCGTTACCTTGTACGGAAAGTGTGGCAGTATCGAGGACGCACACCGCTTGTTTGATGAGATGCCGTTTCATGATCAAGTCTCCTGGACTGCCCTTGTCTCAGGTTATGCGCAGTTTGGGAAAGCAAAAGAAACTATGGATTTGTTTGAGAAGATGTTATTGAAGGGTGTGAAGCCTGACGGGGTAACATTTATTGGTGTCCTTTCTGCTTGCAGCCGTTCAGGGCTTGTGGAGAAAGGCCGCAGCTACTTTCATTCCATGCAGAAGGACCATGGTATTGTGCCCTTGGACGATCACTATACTTGTATGATTGATCTTTATAGCAGATCAGGGAGGTTAAAAGAAGCTGGGGAGTTCATAAGGCAGATGCCACGGTGTCCTGATGCAATTGGATGGGCAACATTGCTTAGTGCATGCCGGTTGCATGGTGACATGGAGATTGGGAAATGGGCTGCTGAGAATCTCTTGAAAACTGACCCTCAAAACCCAGCGAGCTATGTCTTGCTGTGCAGCATGCATGCTTCTAAAGGTGAATGGAGCGAGGTTGCCCAGCTTAGGCGTGGAATGAGGGATAGGCAAGTGAAGAAGGAACCAGGCTGCAGCTGGATCAAGTATAAAAATAAAGTTCACATATTTTCAGCCGACGATCAGTCTCACCCCTTCTCCGGAACAATTTATGAAAAGCTCCAGTGGCTCAACTCTAAGATGGTGGAAGAAGGATACAAGCCTGATGTCAGTTCTGTGCTGCATGATGTGGCAGATGCTGAGAAGGTTCACATGCTCAGCAATCATAGCGAGAAGCTTGCAATTGCCTTTGGCTTAATTTTTGTTCCAGAGGAAATGCCGATCCGGGTTGTCAAGAATCTGCGTGTTTGTGTGGATTGCCACAATGCTACCAAGTTCATCTCGAAGATAACCGGTCGTGATATTCTTGTGAGGGATGCTGTCAGATTTCACAAGTTTAGCAATGGCATTTGCTCATGTGGGGACTTCTGGTAATTCCACTGTCTGTTTGGCCAACGTTGCACATGCTTCAAGTTTAACTAAAGTCAGAAGTGCTACTGGAAGAAAAGGAGAAAAGCTGAACGAAGCTAATCATGGATAATAGTCCCTGGCCATCAACTGGGTTTGTGTGACACAGTACGAACAAATCACGTTCCCTGCAGGTGCAGGACTCATAAGAGGTGTGTTTATGTCATCATGAAAATGTAGTTCTGGAAGATTGTTTTGATTAACATTTTGTTCCTAATTGTTGGTTGGTATGGATCTGACAGACAAAGGGAGAATCTGCATTTGCTAACAGCAGTATGCAGTTTGGTATAAGGATTGTGCATGACTTCTATATCCTTATTGACTCTTGTGTACCAAAGTGGAAGGGTATGCCAGGTTTTGTCATTCTGTGCGCTAATTACCAAATTCGGCACATTGACAGGAGAAACCACCACTCTTCTGCCTTACTAGTCTGAGTGTTAATCTTTTCATTTCATTTTAGCATAACTAGAATGATGCTAGTCTGAGCTTAACCTCTTGCCAGATAAAGCTCCATCTCCAGTGTTTTTTCTTTACATTTTACATAATGTTTGATGTTGCACACTTCAAGTGGTTACTAATTGCAAAATGTGCAGGGTATTTTTTCGGTTATGGCTTGGAGATGGGCCTCAAGTTTGTTGAAAGAAGATCCCACTTATGGCTTTGCACCAAGCAGCAAAGGGAACAAAGCGATTAATCACCATCCACTGAGTCTCTGTTATTAGCTTGGCTTCCAAATCTCCAAGACTTTTGTTACGCAACCGAAGTGTTTCCACAGGCAGCCTAAAACAATGCCAATGTGATGCCTGAACCAATCCCTTGTTGAAGTTTAGTGCCTGGTTGCCATATGGGTACTTGATGGCAATGTGAGTCATGTAAAGGGTATATTTCTAGCAGTTCTGCTTGGACAAGGTCATTGCAGTTTTGTCACCATTAGCTACTGGAGAACAAGCTGCAGCAAGTACTGGGAAGAACTTACTGGAGAAATGCCCCTGAAGAACAGTTATACTGCAATTTGAATATCAGGAATTGCAGAAGTCACTGGCTGCATGCCCAAGAACCCCAGCATGGCCAGGTGAGTGTATTTTAGATACCTGATATATATAACAGCGCAAAGTGTTATCCAGTGTGTGAAGAATCATATGTATTTCTTGTGCATTTTATGGTCACATCGGTACTGTCCTCCTGCAATTGTTGTTAGCCTGAGACAGTATTGACCAACTGAAAATTTGGAAGTAAAAATTCTCTGTCGAAATTGGACTGGTGTGATGTACAACTCTAGCTTTGTAACCTGACATCTTCCACTAGCTATTACAACTTACTGAAAGGCCTTGACAATGAATAGAGATAACTATTTTTTTTTGCGGGTGAATGAATAGAGATAACTAAGATGGAAAAGAAAAATAAAAGATAGGAAAAGTGAAGCAAAAATTCGGAAGGGATACTGCACATATACTATATGCTATAAAATAAAGAAAGTGATGTTTCCATTTTTCTTTACAGTGAAGCCAAGTTGGCTTGGTTGTAGGAGTCCATCTCATGGATGATGAGGCTGGTGGTGGTGACCCGGGCGCTGGTGTTGTTGTTGAAGAGGCACATCCCGTTGACGTAGATGGTCTTTGTTGGGTACAAGCAGTTTGGCTGTACTAGCAGAAATTGCTTAGTATCTACTCCCTCTGTAAACTAATATAAGAGCATTTAGATCACTTTAGTGATCTAAATGCTCTTATATTAGTTTACAGAGGGAGTAGTTTGGTGGTAGTGTACCAAATTGTAAATCTTGCATGCCACTAGACCACAAGGTGGCAAGTGAAGCATGGGCATGCAGAGCTTGTTTGTAGAACACAGACACAGCTAGCTAGCTTAGCTGCATTGTGCAGTGAAGCTAAGTGAAACTCTCGACAATGAGATCACAGCAACATATTTATTCAGTTCCTACATATATAATATAATGTGCATCTAGAATACAGTATAATTTATTCTGGTAGTCAACAATCAGTTATGGACTGACTGTAATTTTTTGTAAACAAAATATAGTGTGCAACAGTTTTAGTTCGATCATAAATCCATTGCTAGGTTCACTTATCTGCCACCGAGATCATCATCTTCCGAAGTCATGATATCTGCTTTCTGAGACCCAGAGGTACTTTTATCCATCTTTTATTTCTGTTCTGATCCGGAAGATGATGATTTCGGTGGCAGTATTCATATCAAGTATTGGTGTTAACTAAATTATTTACTCAAGACAAGTGCTCCTGAAGGTTTGTTATTTCTTCAACTTGTGAATGGAGCAGTGCATAGAGAATTGTGGATAGGTTCGGATGCTGTTGCTTCCGAGGAGGTTATTTTTAACATTCTTTCATTGCACGTGTAATTCTACTTGGGCTCGATGAGTGTTGTTTCCGATAACTGGTTATGGCTTTCAGAGCTATGCTTGGGCTGCGCCACCGGACCACTTGCCTCCACACTGGCACTCCGGTAAGTAGGAATTTCAATTCTGCATGCCGCCGGAGTGAGGTTGTATTGGTAACATTTTGGCCGCAGTACTGATTCGTTTTTGCCCTATTCAAATTAAGAACTTACAGTGAGAGTAAGCACACAACAGTACAGCTTTATGTAGGTGACCAAAATGTTCCTTGCTAGACCTGATTGTGGAATTTTGTTTGATGGTTTTAGTGGAGGCCTGATACAGCTCATACTCCTAACCATGTAATATTTCTGAGTACATATAGTAAATTGCTAGATTTTGTAGCACTTGCTTAACCATGTTTGACAAACTTAAATGTTCTTGCTTGGCCATGTAATATTTGTGACCGTATATGACTGAATGTAATGAAAGGTGCAAAGATTGTGTTTCGACATTCAGTGCAGTTCAGAGTGGCTTGACAATTCTAGATATTTGTCAAGATAATGCACATGTGCTTATATTTGTCAAGATCATAATCTAATTGTTTTGCTTATCTTAACTATTCCATTCTAGATAAAAAAAAGTTAGCAAAGGTGTGTTTCCATTGTGCATAGTTTAGTCTTACACACTTTCCACATCAGGTCGGTTTTCTTACTTTGCCCCGCCCCAGCCTCTAAGAAAGCAATTATTTACACCATAAGCTGCTTATAACTATATAATGCAACCTTAACAGAAATTCAGGTCCTGCTGTTTTTGTACTTTTGCTCCACTTTACTGATGTACTATACTAATTTCTCTCTTGCAGGATAAAGTGGGTATTACTATATGTAGTAAATTTGGTTGGATGATTTTGAGCAAGGATAGATGGTGCACATGAAGATTCCATAGCAGGTTCGAGTGCTTGAGTCCGAGGGGTCACCATTTTTAGTTGCATGTACTTTCCATATGATGTTTCTAGCGGTGTGTGAAGCATTTTCTGATTTTATCGTGAAGTTAAGCAAGTCAGCCTCACATCACCTCCAAAGGGAAAGAGAGCAGAAAATTTTGTGATTATAGGGCACATATAGGAGTCCACGCAGCACATCTCCAAGCTATACATAGTACACTAGAGATATGAGCCACATTCCGCAACATAACTGGCAGGAGTACATTTTGCTTCCAATAGACACTACTAGGAAAAGGGCTATAGATGGAATTGACACTAATGGCGCATCAGACATGTGGTGCGCCATTACTATATACTAATGGCGCATCATCTGTTGGTACGCCATTAGTGTGAAAGACACTAATGGCGCACCAGGCACATGGTGCGTCATTAGTAACAAAATGTTTTTTTTTCATTTTTTCAAACATACTAATGGCGCATCCTGGTAGAGTGCGCCATTAGTAGTTAGAACTACTAATGGCGCATCAGTCATAGAGTGCGTCACTACTATATTTTTTTTTTACTTTTTTGCAAAACTACTAATGGCTCACCGTTGCATAGTGCGCCATTACTAGTTAACTAGTAATGGCGCATTGTGCCACAGTGCGCCATTAGTATAAAAATTATTTTTTTTACTTTTTTGCAAAACTACTAATGGCGCATGTCTGTGTGGTGCGCCATTAGTATGTTGGGTTACTAATGGCCCATGTCTGTGTGGCGCGCCATCAGTAACCTGGGACCAGCTAGATATTTTTGGACAGCCACACCTACACACTCACTTTCCCCACTTCATTCCCCCCACCTCCTTCTCTAAGCTTGTCGGCTGCCTTCTCCTCCTCACCTCATTTGCATCATAGATTCATCAAAATTAAGTGTTGAAATTACCTTTTTTTGATAGGTAAGTAAGGGGAAAGCTATCTTCATGTTGTAGAGATCTACTTTTTTTCTCCCTAGCTCGCTCCAACAACGTGCACATGCACTTTTTGTGGCCTAGCTAGATCTATGTATGTTTGTGGTGTTGCATATGTTTGTGATGTTGCATATATGTTTGTGTTTGCAAGTACCGGTATTTGAAATGCGATAGTTGCCAATATTTTGCCGGAATGTTGATTCATTTCCGTTTCGGCAAGAATTTTGGCACTATGCATTCTTTTTGGTCTTATTTTTAGGGAAAGTCATGCCAATTTTTTTCTTGATTCTAAAATATCGTTTTGCTCTACCCCGCAGGCGACCATGGTTCGCACGATGACCGAAGGCATCGTGAATAGGTTTTTGAGCTCCGCGAAGGCCGAGATGTTGGAGGAGCAGACGGCAATGGACCATCGATGGGCTGGGTGCAGGACCCTTATATTCAAGAGATGCTTCTCAAGCAGACGGATAACGCAAGAGCTGTCATTCGAGAGAAAACCAAGCTGGATCAACTGGAGATAGATGCGGTTACTTTATTGTATGAAGGATGCAGACCCGAGGATACCCGCCTGAAAGTAACGCTCATGGCTTTGGAGATGAAGGTAAAACACAAAATGACCGACGCATGCTTCGACGAGAACATGTCATTCTGGCACGAATGTCTTTCCAAGGGGAATAAGTGCCCGACCAGTTTTGAGGAGGCGTAGAAAGTAGTGTGTCCTCTGGATTTACCGCACGTGAAATACTATGTGTGCATGAACAACTGCATCATTTATCAGGGCGAGCATGAGGAGTCTACCATATGTCCAGTGTGCGGCGTCACTCGATACAAGAAGAGGAAGAAAGCTCCTCAAAAAGTGGTGTGGTACTTTCCGATCACTCCTCGTCTGCAGCGGTATTTCGCGGACCCTAAGGTAGCAAAGCTCCTGCGTTGGCACGCGGATAGGGAGAAGAAGAAGCGAGAAGATGACGCAAATGATCCGGAGATAAATAAAAAAGACAAGCTGCTGAGTCACCCTAAGGATGAGAGCTAGTGGCAAGCGTTGAACTTCGAACACCCAGAATTTGGGAAGGATTCAAGGAACATCGTGCTGGGCGCGAGCACCGATGGAGTCAATCCGTTTGGCAGCTAGAGAAGCACACATAGCACCTAGCCTGTGTTTGTGTGGATGTACAACCTTCCCTCCTGGTTGTGCATAAAGAGGAAGTACATTCACATGAGTATGCTAATTGAAGGGCCGAAACAATCAGGGAACGACATCAATCTGTATCTGGGGCTGCTGAAAGAGGAGCTAGACACGCTGTGGAAAACGCCAGCCAATACGTGGGACGCCGCAGAGAAAGAATATTTTCTTATGAGAGCTGCATTGCTCACGACGGTGCACGACTATCTCAATTACGGATATCTCGCGGGGCAGGTGGTCCACGGATTTTCTAGATGCGTCAGGTGCATGGATGACACAACGTATCGCCAGCTAGATAGAGATCCCGGGTCTTCGAAAATCGTGTTCATGGGACATCGAAGGTGGCTTCACGACGATGACCCGTGGAGGAAACGCAAGGATCTGTTCGATGGTGAAACCGAACTCCGAAGACGCCCGCGTACGAGGAGCGGCGA